TCGAATATCTGCGAAATCATCAAATATTATAAGATTGAGCATGACTGAAATATTCGCACAATTCGACTTTTTGCTTTTCGATTAGTAGAATATTCGAGAAAACGGACTTATTTTATTATTCGAATATCCGAATATCCGGTCATGCTCCATTTATTCAAATTCGAATAGTCGAATATACAGGATCCCCAATATTCTACTATTCGAATTCGAATATATTTTAAATGACGGTTCGAACAATATTCGTTCATTCAAGTATTTTACGAAAGATTCGTTCATCTGAAAAAAATTCTCACTGTTCCAACTATATTGAGAATGTCCTTGTAGGGGCGGGAAAAAATCGTAGAAAGTGCGCGGTTTGGGACGGGAGCCACGCCCCTTCTAACTCATCTCTTACAGTGCATTTTAGTAAAAATAGGTCGAAAAAACACAGGAAGTATTTGAAATTTTAAAGTGCAAAGCTACATACGGCCTTGACAGCAAACTGTCTCGCTCGATCATGTTGTGATGTGGTCATTGATAGGCATGTTTTCTCTTTTAACAACCATTGATTGTAATAAATCACTTTTTTGTTATCAAGAATTTCAAGACGATTCTGACTCCATTCAACCTCCTATAGCTTCTCATTTTGGGATTAGAAGCGATAAATTGACTTTCGAGTTCTGCCACCACAAAAAAAGCACAATTTCATACAGTTCTTGGCAAATTTGAATTTGTTCCGGATTGCTGCTAATACACAAATCTTCTTATCTACACCAGAGATAAGCATAAAGAAGATTACCTTAGTTCGTTTTTAGCTGTGCTACAAATTCCATGAGCAGCTTTTGTCATGAGTGCTACGAAATTCTTCAAATTCTTGAATGCGTTCGTATAAACTCATCGATACGTCTGCTCATTATGAAACATCGCGCTGTTTAAGAGCAGATCTCTTTCGTTGGCTTTCATTCGCACCAACCACGAACCCAAATCTATCCATGTTAATCCTACCTTTAAGAAGAATTTTCTACTATTCTTAATTCTGATTCAAATCATTCTATCTTTTTTTTGATTCTATCTCTATTATTAATATTTTTATGTTTATGAAGGCCTTATCAAATTTCAGTCTTGCTCATTCTATAGCTTTTTGCAAACCTTGGCAAGGTCAATAAAATTAATAAGTTTTGATACTCTCAAATCGTCGTAAATTGGAGGAAGTAAGTTTTTTGCCACCAAAAATGTGCATCTAACCTCTTTTCATGTCATTTTTATCAAATTTTAATCGTCTCTACC